AATTCTTTTTACATGAATATTAGTATTCAATACCAGATCCAAAAGGCGGTCGTCATGCCAATAATCTTATTCTTCGCAAAGATCAAAAAGAGTATCAAAATGCCTTAAAGAGTCTTCGTAAACAAAAAGAAGTGGATATATTTGATCCAGATTATATTCCTAAACTTTCATTGGATCTGATTCAACTTTTTGTAGTGTTCCAGTGATCGGTTGTGGCCGTAGAAATCCCAGCGATAAAAATGGAAAGGAAAGAACGAAGATGAAAATACTTGACACAATAAAAGTAAACCTGTTCGTAAATATATTTAAAGTTTATGTTAATACTAACTTCTCATGTTATTACATTATTGTAAATAAGATATATAATTTAAAATTTCTAAAAATAAATCGATTGAAACAAACAATCCCGAATAAAACTGACATGTATAAAAATATTATTAACAAATTTCAATCTTTGGTATTTTAAAATTAGTACTAATATTATTAATAATATATTCTTAAAAATACTTTTTAGTATAATGCTTGTATTAAAATAAAAATTATTGCTATTAATATATAATATTATATTTACTAACACTTTATAACAGTTAATATTATCAAAAAATTTAAACCTTTATTAAATTTATAGTTTTAAAACTTGTATAAAAAGAATAATCTTTTTATTACAAAAAGAATTCAAGTTTAATCTAAATTTATTTTATTAATAATTTTAAATTTTATTTTTTAAAGACTTTTAGTCTAAAAGTATAAAAAAAACAAATAATATTATATATAATATAAAATTAGTATAATAAAAGTTTTTATTATAAGAAAAACTAGTTACTATATAATAAAAATTTATTTTATTTTATTTTTTTTTTATTGTTACAACAAAGCCTCAATGCTAGTTAATTTTTATTAGATTATTTGTAGATTTATATTGGTTAGTGAGAGTACAATTGGTTACACATACAACTTTATCATTATCTATTTAAAGGTTCTGCTTGAAGGTTACCTACTAATTGCTATACCTAGTTGCTATTTGTAGTTACTCTATTTTAAACTCTCTGGCATACTGTCATCTCTAATGTCAATTCAATTTTTTTCTTAAACCTACACAATCTCATGCTGTCTTATTAAGGACTACTTAGACTAGTTTGTGTCTCAGGTTCCCTTATTAGAAAGGGTTTTATCTCAAGGTATCCTATTGTTTTTTTCAGGAAAAGCCTGCAAAATACTCTAATTATGCTGTATTATATCTTAATTAAACTAGCATATATTCTTATAGATATTTGTATAAACCTAGTTCTTACTGTAACTTTTTACTAAATTAGTCTTTCATATATTCAGATATTTTACAAGTTAGATTCTCTTTAATTTAATTAGTTACTAAGCCAAGTTAGTATTGCTGCTAATGCAAGGTACTAGGTTGCATTATATAGCAGACTTACTCACATCTGCTTAATCTGCAACCTTCATATATAGGTTTCTTTTTTAAATTAAGTATTAATTATATAACTATTAAAAATCTATACTACTTCATCTAATTTGAAATTTTTATCATGTAGATCTTCTGTTTATAGATTCTATCAAGATTTATTTATGCAATATAACTTGAATATTGTGTTATACTTCCAATATCTGATTAATATTGATATAATGTAATTTACAAGGTTACAATTTCTAGAAACAGATAGAGTTTACTATAAGTTAAATATGAAAATTTGAGTAATTATTCAAATTCATTAATAGTAGGATTTGAACTTCAGATCTCTTGTATAGTAGTCTGATAATCTAACTACTATACTAAGATCACTAGACCTAAAATTTGATTTTAATATTTAATAATAATTTTTTTTTTTTTTTTTAAACTTAGGCGATCTTGCCCTTCATTTTATTAGGAGAATACTTAAAATAGTATAAAGACA